ATTAGGGTTTTAGGCGTTGGTTTTGCAAGAGAACTATATAATGGGCTTCTTAGGGCCAATCTTGTTATTTCGATAATGGGGTTTAAGGCCCACACTTATGTCAAACCATCCGAGTTCAACATTAAAAAAAAAAGAACAATTTTTGTTTTTTACAAAGTTTAATGTAAATAATTTTGGTTGGTGCATTTGTTTCATGTCTTGATAATATGGAATTTGTGTAAATATGTGCCATCTAAAGGAAAGGAACATTGATGAATGTATGTAACATGTAATTCATCCATATCTATAAAAGCAAAATACTTTTTGTAAATGATATTAAGAAAAATAATGGAATCTAGATATCTTTGTATTTTGTGATTAAAAATGTACTACTGCTTCCCATTCTTTTTAACAGTCAAATTGAAACCATAACACACAAGTGCATAATGGAGAATTGGAAACAATGAGGTCGTCACTGAGAAGGAGGTTGTTGGTCGGCAGGTGGATCGGCCGGGGTTGGTGGCTCATCATCGTTGGGGATCCAGAAAGTTAGAACCGTCGACGCAGCAACGAACATGGCTCTACGTGGTGCCCATTTCAGACATGACACTACTCCTATGTTGTTCTCCCATCTCGCCACCTGCATTTTACACAAGATACCCCCAATAAATTTAGATACTGTCCCAATCATCATAAGGCAAATATAGTAGCTACATCTTTTAAGTAAATCGGTGGTGTTGATTGTTCTGCATTTACCTCAGATGGGTTCTCGATGTTCCACGCATGTAAGGTTCCATCTCCTGAACCTGTAAACCAAAAAAACTGGCTGTGAGGTCTTCCTTTTATCTTAATTTGGTCTCAGTAATTTCATAATTTCGAGTTAGCTGGTTAAATTTGGATGATGTGTGTATGAGTCATGATCAAAGACAATCTAGCATCATCTGGACAAGTAGTGCATGATCATATTACCTGACAGAACATACTTGCCATCTGGAGTGAAGGTGGCTTCTATGGATGTACCTTGTGAAGGCTCTAAACTAAAACCACATTTCTGCAAATCGAAAACAACAAAAATTAGCATACCGGGGTTACCAACCTAAAACCTAATGCTCTGTCTTCTTCAAGTGAAAGATACAAAATGTGATTACCTTTTCTCCACGATAAGCATCAAGAACATAGATATTGTTATTTGTAGTTGTTAATAGCATGGATTTTCCATCATTGCTGAATTTTATATCGTTAACCTCAGCAGTATCCCCACCCACCAGAAATGTGTCAAAAGGACCCTACATAAAAGATCAATTGGGTTTAGAATTTAGAAGTTTCACTAACGTGCAAGTTTGTGTGCATCATAGTAAGTAGCTAACCTTGTCATAACACCGGGAATCGAATAATTTAACAGCACCTCCTTCCATTGCAATTGCAAACACCAGACCTTGTTGGTCATACGCAACTGCAGGTCTACCACGTAGATGTAGAATTCCCTATTGACTAAAAGGGTAAGCATAAATCATGAAACCATTTACATATACATTCACAGAGAGGCTATTAAGGAAGACAGCCTAAATCGAGAAAACTTGTTCTAAATGTTAGTATATGTTTCCAATATCTTCATGAAGTTAACTTTCAAGGTGAACTTAAGAGGGTTCGGATTATAAACTAAGAAGTACTTTTCCGATTAAAACTAGCATTTTCAGACTTATTCCATATACTGGGAACCAACCTGGCAAGCATTTACACGAAGATCCCAGAGTCTGACACTTCGGTCAAGAGAACCAGACATGAAGCTATCATTGATAGGAGACATACAAAGCGATACAACCCTAAAACAGAAAAACATTCTCCATCAATGTGCATATTACAAGTGTAAGTAGGTAAACAAATATCCAATCCCCAATTCCAGAGGTTATATCATACCTGTCTTTGTGCCCTTTAAAGTAGCGAAGGATCCTATTATCATACATTGAGAGATACCTCAAGGATTCTGGTACAAGAACAAGTATTCAAGTGAGTGCCTTTATCCACCATTATTGATTATCCAATCTCAAGTAAGAGAAAACGGAATACTCACCTCCAGTGGACTCCAAATTGTATTTAGAAGAGCAAATAAGAGAGCTTGGATGATGGGTAAAGCATACACGATCGGTGCCATGTTTCTTATGATATGTAATCTTGAGCTGTCTACGTTTCAACAAAACATCAATACAAAATTTTCAGATGAAACTGAATTTTCAGTCTTGTGCATAAAAATTCAACTAAATCGAGTTATCCAAAAGTTTCTTCTCGTTTGCTTAAGTGTCTCTAGAACTTGATTTGGGTAAGTAGAAAACCTATAAGGGAGGAAGAACTGACTTAGCGTTGGCGATATCGAAGAGGCGAAGTGAATCATCTTCGCTTGATGTAACCAATAGATCATCAGTCCTATGGAAACCCATCGAATGAATCTTCCCTCCCTGTAAACCCAAAGATCGAAATTGAACGGATTAATCCCGGAAACTGGATTCTGGCAAAGTTAATCGGAGTAATAAGAAATCATAGGAGAGAAACTCTGTCAGTACAAAATCAGAGAAGACAGCTCCGATGGCCATCCTGCGCACCAGTTCGTCGTCTAGCTCCGTCAACGACATCGATCAACAGAGAAAATACGAGAGAGAGCGACTGAGAGAGAGGCGAGCGATAACGAATACTCTGGACAGAGTTTACTGGGGTTTCGCGGGTCTCTAAACGACGCCGTTTACTAACTATTGCAAACGCACTACTTGTCGTTCAATACTAGCCTATAAGAACTGCATGTCGTTTGAGGACTAGCAAAGAGATGATGCTTGAAGACGAGCGACTTCGTAATACGGTATAAAGTGTGAGAGATTTCCAAAGAGTCAAATACACAAATGAAACACATAGGAAAATTATAATTGTCTGAAGCTTCAAGTTTCAAACACATAGGGAAAGCTCTGAGAAAATAATGAAATCGCAAATGGAACACCATAGATATGTTCGAACTTGAAATCTGACATGAGTTGATAAGACTATACAATGTCAGCGAAATCGCAATGGAAGACATAGCTAACGACCACCATACCAACCTCTTGGTGGTTGTTGCTGCTGCTGCAGAGCTCCTCTATCTCCATTCATCAGCTTATCTAAAACTATATTCAGGTCAACGGCTTGACCATTCTCAGTCAATGTCCTCACTGTTCCTCTCACTTGGTCCCTCGAAAATCCCATGCTGCTCACCTTGTCGATGACATCATCGACTGGGACTCTGCTTCCGGATCTTGGGGAATCCGAGCCACCACTTCCACCGCTGCTGATGGCTGATGCCATCTGTAGAGCTTGTGGTGGTAGTGGGCGTGCCATTGGGAGTTGCGGATAACCAGATCCACTTCCACTCTGATGTGGCGGTTTCAGGGTTTCGGAGTTTCCAAACTGTGAAGAAGATTGACCGGTATATGGGTACGGTTCAGGAGAGTACCCGGAAGGGAAACCTGAATTGGATCTACCACCTGATACATCGTACATTGATGGTGGCATTGGAGGGCCTTTGAAGTACTGTTGAGGTGGGGCAGTACCAGGAGGCGGATGAGAAGGTAGTTGACGAGGAGGGTTTGGCGGGTAAGATTGTGGAGGGTATGGTCGGTCCTCCGGGTTAAAGCCACCCGAAGATGACTGTTGAAGTTGAGGAGGTGGTTGTTGAGGGTATTGTGGCTGTTGAGGTGGTGACTGGTAAGGTGGTTGATGCAGTGACTGGATTGGAGGAGGAGGAGCTTGATAAGGAGGCTGGTTTGCCGGAGGCGGCTGGGACTGACCAGGCGGAGGGAAATAAGGCTCTTGTTGGGGAGCAAACTGGCTGGGAAGCTGAGACAGTTGTGATGAAGGTGGCGGGAGACTGTGCTGTGAGGCAGGCGGTTGGATATATTGTACTGGCGGGAGGCTCTGCTGAGGCAGAGAAGGGGGAGCTGTAGCAGAAGCTGATGGCTGAGGCAGTGATGCGGGCGGTTGAGCAGTAGGTTTAACATGTGTAGAGTGCATCTCGGGCTGCTGGTTTACCGTTGACACTTGAAGCTTCGAAAGCTGAAGCTGCGCTTCAGCTATTTCTTGTTTGTCCTTCAACAACTGTACACCGCTTTGCACCTGAATACAATTATAGAAAGTAAGGTCCTGAAGAATCTATGAAACCTGTTAAAGCCTAAAATTTCTTTGAAGTTAACAGATCACTATTTCCAAGACAAAAAGGCAGAAAAGAACAGTTATTACCTCTAACAAGATGTTTTCAAGCTGTCTCATTTTGCCATCAGTGTTTCCGTGACTGTTCCCAACAGAGACTTTCACATCATCTACCAGGTTTTCGAGATTCCGGGTTCTGGTCTCAAGCTGCGTTAGACGAGCGCTAACACTTTCCATAGCATGTAGCAAGTTATCAGCATGTGTCTTCATTGTCCGATCGATCGCAGATATAATCGCTGACTCAGAGACATTCCGATCCTTCTCAGCAAACAATTTCGAAGGTTCAAGAGAGTCATAACTCTGCCAAAACCAACAAGTGCGATAAGTAAGGCCACTGAAAGAAGCATAAGCGAATCCCTAAGTGTGATCATTTTCATAATCCTAACCTTGCAAATACCTAGCAAGGCTTAAACAACATGATAATGAAACAAATAAGAAAACAATATACTTGTGCTTACACGACTAATCTCAAAACGTAATTCTGCTAAACCTTAGAACCGATTCCATTAAATACAGACAATCCTCGCGAAGGAGATTGATCAGAAATCATAAAATACCGGTGAGAGATATGAGAATTATAGAAAACATTACTCTTGCTGATGAAGTTGAAATCGGTTGCAAATCAGAAGCCCAAACCCTAGACGCCGTGGAGTTAACAGATCCGGCGAGATCTAAAGCGGAGTGAGATAATCCGACGGTGGTATTAGGTCGAATAGGTTGAAAATCATAGCTAGGAAAGATCGCTTCCTTCTTCGACTCCAGGCCATTATCGCCGATACGGTGCTTCTGGTGATCGCCGCCGTCTTGTGAATTATTGTCGTTCATGAGATCCATTATTTGCTTATCTAAGAACAGAGCCGTATTCATTCGATCAAAAGAAAATGATTTTAACATTATATACAAAGGTCGCCTTTGATTTTATATGATTTTCTGACTTCCTTGGG